ATTCCACTTTTAACACCAAGGAAAGTTTGCAGAGTACTTGAAAACCTATGAAATCCGAACAGCCAAAATTTCTGATTCTACGTTAGAAGGAAACTGTCCAGTAGTCAAAATCGTGAACATACCATTTAATTTAAGTAATCTCGACCCCGATGCGGTATATTCTACGTGCAATTGATCAATGATTCATGATTCCGTGTTGTGCTTTGAAAGAATTCCAAGGTAGGAGAATGACCTCAAAAATAATTTTCTCCGCTCTTTCGAAGGATTACCTTTCGATGGCTATTATTCGACTTTTGATCACTGCAAAGATTACGCATAAAAGGATTTCTTATCCCATCTTTGAACAAGCTACGGTACTGTTTTGCACTACTGTATTATAGGTATGCATTTTAGCTTATGAAAATTCTGTCTTCAAACCACGGGATTACGCAGTGCGAACTTCTAAAAAAAACGAAAAGAAGCCCGCAGAGATCACGATGATCTCTGCTGCGATTTGTCAAGAAATCTGCTGTAAATTTTGACCATGAATCTAAACTCCGGGGAATCAAATACGCGATTTCAAATCACTGAGGGGTCCGTCGTGACTCGCGCCTGCTGATGAACAGATGATGCGAAAAGGAAATGACAGCTGGCAACTCTGCTCTCACGTACACTCGAAAAACGAGCTCGGGAACAAGAAATAAACTGAAATTTAATGCTGTGTCGTTAGCTGGAATCGTCGTCGAGGTGGTTCGAAATGGGCTCTTCCAGTCGCGTGAAAACCCGGACGGAAATCCCAGTATGACGATTCTCGGCGACGGAGAGCGCGGATGATTGGACCTTCGGCAGATTCCCCGGAGACGCCCTGGAAGTCAGAAAATCGGGTCAATGGATGACGATCAAGCAGTTGCGGCACCCGAACCGTGATGGGTCCCGTTACCGAGCGAAAAACGCTTAATACGTCGCAGCAAATCATGAGCCCGCCGAGCAGCTGGAACCAACAGCGCTGACCAGCGGGCCGCGACTCCCGGGTGCGGAGTGGGACCCGAGGAAATTGGATACTCCAATTGATTGCCCATCCTCCATCTTCAATAAAGGCTTGTCAACATCGACTATGTGACAGCGGCGAAAGAATGATTCGTTTCCCGTGCGCAGGAAGCGAGCCAGATTATACTCGACGCCGTACTCTCTCAATATCGTGCCACGCTACTCGGATAACCTTTCACTGTCAAGGGAAATTTCGTATATTGTCACTGCGCAGCTCCCGTGTCGTCAGCAGCTCGACACTGTGCCGATTTTCATTTTCCGCAACGCGCTAGGTGCGAGGGAATTCTTGCATCCGTCCCCGTCCGAACAATACGTTTCGTTCAATCAGGATTATTTCCCGGGCGCGGAATTTATGGCCCGGATTCCGTCATTTTCCCTCGGGATTCTTCCACATTTCAAGCCCTCAGGGTTGCCCACAGTAAACAGTGCCCTCTTGTATCCTCTTCATTGCTACCTTCGACTCCTCTCCGGGAAACTTCGATCAAGGAACTGCGAGGGATGCTCCAGCAAGTTTTGAGACTCGGGGATATGTGAGCACTGCATTTTCTTTACATTCATCCAGTTATTTATTCAGAGTTTGAAAATTTGCTTGCCTAATTAAACAGCTGAAAAAACACGAAAACAATTTAAAGGCCACCTCCGCGTGTCCTGCATTATCTTTCAAAATCACGCGAAATCATATGCGCGAAATTTTCTTTGCCATTAAAAGAAATACAATATTCTTGAATATTGGTGACGAGACGAAGTATATGGGGAAGTATTGCAACCGAATTTTTTTTTTTATAATTCAAAAAAGTCTTGTTTATTCATTTTTATCAGTTTTGAATCGCTGTTACCATCATTCAGCCGAGTACTTCAACCTTTTTGTATCAAGGAGCGGTTCAAAATATATACTTTATTTCGATGCCTGTTGAGAATGTAGTATACAGTATATGCGTATACAGTACTTGTAGGCTAACCCTACGACTCGATCGTAATTCTTATTCTCTTCAAAAAATCAAAATTTTCTGTCTTGCAGGTGGCCTATGTCTCGAGCTACAAACATTTGCTGTCCTTGATTATTATATTTGACCCCGTTATTTCTTGATATTGAATTTCATGCATTTTATTATTCTTTAAATTCCTTGAAGCATCCGAAGAGCCCCTTGAGAAGTGCGTGCCTTGAAGCAATGGTTCCTTGAAGCAAGAATAACGGGCTGTAATTCCTTTAGAGTTCAGAGAGCTAAGAAGGAAATATATGACAAAAAATAAGCCTGCTCTTCAATAAATAAATACAAATAAATACAATGATTATAGGAGGATGAAAATGCAACTTATTTCTTGAGGAAATCCTAGTCAAGAGTTGGAGAATACGTTTTCCTGAAAACATTTTTAATGGCAAATCGACTAACGGAGATACGCTCTGGTTTTGTGTGCTTACTCGTACATTGCTCTGAATTCTTCATTGGAAGATTTTGAAAACTTTCCGTCGCACCTGAATCAAGCGACACGTGCTTGAAGAATATTTTGAAATCAGATTCCTTCATTCGTTGGTCTTTCGGAAACGATATTTTACGTCGAAGCTGAAGTTATTGTTTTGCTCGTGAAGTAAAATGCAAAATTTGTTTGAGGAACCTTCGTTCACAAAACACAGATGAAATGTGGTTCTAATACCGTATTTATTTCCGACGAAGTTTTCCATTTGTATGATGAGTGTATGTTCTCAATTTACTTGATGAAGTACCACTGTGAGAGGCGTGATCCTACCCAGCAGAAATATCTTCGAAGACGACTCACTTCAATCTAAATAACTCTGAAAGAATTTAGATCACGAAAGAAAATTTTATAAATTAAGTCACTTTAGATTCTGGAGCATAAAGAAAACCTGGTAATAGCTCTTAAGACCGATGGGACCAAAATATTCAAATTACTCTTGAATTATAGATAAAATCAAGCCTCTATCTGTCTGCTGGCTTTTGATTTAAGAAAATAGGCATAGTAGTGTCGATTTTATGAATCTTCGAGGATGTCGATACAAAGTGTATTTATTTTCCGCGCTCTTTACTTAAGTCAGAGCAAATCTAAAAATCTAAAAAAAAAGTCCGAGGGCCGATGTACCAAAATCTTAGAATTAATTTCCGATAAATAAAATAATGTTTCTTCCTTCATGAGCGGATCGGTTTATTTATTTTTTGTTGAGCAAAAACAAGTAGTTGGGATAGATGCTGTCATTTTTCGAAGATGTGCGGAAAAATTGGAATGATTTTTATTCCTCCATGAGCGGATCGGCTTCTGTTCATGTTGCGGCAAAATAAGTAGTTCGGGCAGATTTCATCCTTCATCGGGGATGTACGGAATAAAGTGTATTCGTTTTCCGCGTTCTTTGATGCATCAAGAGGAGAAATGTTGAATGCCGCCTGGCTTCGTGGGAGTGCCGATTGGAGCCGGATGGCGGAAATGCTCACTCCTCAACACTTGGTCTCGGGACCTCATTGAGGCCCCCTTTTAGCCAGGAAGAAAACGCACGGATTATTAATTGTAGTCGGAAGCATCATACAGCTGACTGAATCCAAACTACTTCTGCCCGAGTTTTGCAGAAGTCACGAGCAAATCGAAAAGGTTGAAGGATGGTCGCGCATTTTCCTCGCAGCTGGTGCTGACGCCGGGATCCGCAAATGGACAAAACCGGAGCTGGCTTCATGCATTTGTGACGCGTCGGTATTCCGGAAATGACTGAGTGCTGGCTGAGAGTGACGCGGCGAAATGCCAGGGAACAGATTGCGCCGTGTCACTCGCGCACCGGGTATCTGGCCCTGAAGGTGAAAGACGACCGATGAGTACGGGACCAATTCGTCTTTCGCCAAAAGGGAGCCGTCATAACCCTACTTCTTAGAAATCAGTGCCAAATGGGCATATATGCAGATGAATGATTGAGCAATGCGACGATGGATTCCCTCGCGGAAGATTTTCCGATTTACGGGGATACCACCGACCCCATGAGCCACATAAAGCTTGAGGAGGAGGGGGAATCTCGACGAGATCCCATGGCTGCTGATGATCGAAAAAAAAACGAGGAAATAACCAGCAGAGGTAGAAGTTGGCGCATGTCTTCAACACGGCTTTCCTTCCCGGCTACAGCGCAAGAATAACTATCAATTCCAATTCATAATTTCCAGATTTAAGAACGCCGGTTGCAATTGAACATGCGCAGTCCGTCTGTAAGTAAATTTAATTTTTTTCGAAGGCTATTTTCATCCTCCGAGGTACCCGATGCATGGACAAACCAGAGAGTTAGGACATGTTTTAACCCCGTTTTCGTATCTAGACTGATCCCCCAGCCCAACTGAACGAGCTCCTCGATAATTAGACTCCACCAATTCCCATACACAGGTACAGTACTTGCATGCTCTGAATAAGCACTTAATCGAAAAATAAACTTTTTAAAACAATCCGACAAAATAATTTCAAATCTTTCCGTACAAAAGAATCAGTCCAAATGCTTTCTTCCAAGACGCTGTGTTCATTAGATTTGGTGAGCGTTGAAATGAAATACAGTACAAAACTTTCTCCGCGAATTTCAATTTCAGACTAAAGCGCAAAAATTTATGTTTAATGCTGGAATGGTCAGATTGAATTGGACCGAACATTATTCTTCGACATAAGTATGATGAGTGGCATACTTTAACGAACCGTAGTGGAAGAAAACCGCGAACAGTCCAGTTGCTGACATATGGGGGGGGATTTACGATACTATGTGTTCATTCAGCAGAGACATATGAGGGTTTAAATTAACGTTTAATAGAGGTGCAAATAATTGAGATTCCATTCTTGGCACTGTAATACTGTACCTTTTACGCTCTTAGCTTCCAGGATTTCATCATTGGCTCTTGTCACATTCAATTCCGAAAATCTACACCAGCATTGACAACTTCCTTTGCCGGAGGAATCGTGTGCAGCAGCAGTGGGAGGAATAGTTTTTAAATAAAACGCTGCGATAATAACATAAACTACCACGTTTTTCCAATTCCAACAAAGGACACCTGTAAATCAATCTTCAATATTTTCCGCAGACGTTCAAACCCTCTTCCCACCAAAAGAAAAGGGACAGCTTAAAAAATTTCTATGATCTTGGAAAATTTTGATGCAATTTAAGGCGTACTTATAGATACACACAACTGCATAGGTATCAATGCCTCCCAATCACTGCACGAAAAGCTGAAAATCCCACATTTTGAATGCTCATTTTCATCTCACTCGCCGGAAATTCTCGCGCATGTCCAGCATCATTCATCCTATAAAAATGTTTCTTGGAATCAACGTTCATTTACAAGTCGAAAAAGGAAATTACGAAAACTGAGATCACATCCAAGTTTCTATACAAACGGATTTACTTTGAATTTGGTCAGAAACATGTACCTGGGTTTTCGCGGAGAGATTCCAACGGCAGTATTCCTATAGAAGCTCAAAAAGGAATTCAACTAAAAATAGTACAATGGTTCAAACTATATACATTTCTTTCGGAGTTGACACGAGGAGGCTCGTGTCTTCAATTGATCGCAGGATTGCGGATTGAGTTTCCGGGATATGAGATCAAAGGACTCGAAACTGCGGGTTTGAGTTTCGAAATAAAAGGACCGCGCGCAGAAGTCATCACGGAAGCACAAGGACGTCGGACCCATTCAGAGCAGTAATCAACAACACTTCATGAATGATACAGAAGGCCAGGAGGGAATCATAGAAACTCGTAGAGGCATCGAGTTGTTCTAGTTTTTTCATCCCGGTCAGGGATAATCGTGATTTTTGTATGCGACCCCAGTCAGTTGAAGATGAACCGCTGAATCGTCAACTGAATCGGCTTCGTGATATTTCACGCCATTCGGGCTTTTCGGATGCACCGAAAGATCTTCGAGGTCCTCGTCATCATCATCGCTGAGCACGTCGTTGGCGGTTTCGCAAGGCCTTAAGCCAGCACAGCCATTCCCGTTTTCCATTAGTTCCTGCGAATTCCGCCGTCCGGTGTCGTCTTTATTGTTCAACGGGGCAGGTCTATATGTCGTCGATGGCCCGACAAGCGACAGGATCACTGGCAGGAAGATCAGTCCATGGAAGGATCCATAAAAGACGACGCAGAAGAAAACCTGCAAATAAAGCAACTCGTGAAGCTTCTGCTTTGTGTGCGTGTGTGTCGCCGGCCGAAGTACCTTGAAAAATGCTGAGAATGCATAGTCGTCCGTGTACCCAAGCATGACAAGGGCCAGGAAAGTGCTGAATGCTCCATTGAAGACGGCCGGCCCGATACGCACTAGCGTCGCCTCGGCGCGCTCTGATCCACGCAAAAAACATAGGAAAAAATTGAAAATAATAAACACGAACACATCACCACGAGGCAAACTATAATAACACAACTGGATACACATAGATTCGGTGACTCTTTTCCATTGTTCACGGTCAATTTTACGACGGAGTTTTTTTTTTTTATATACCGCAATTACTGTACTCGTCGCGGAGCCTCTGATTGGTTTATTCATGCCGAACACATTTTTTGGGGTCCATAAATGTTTATTTGTATGGTTTATACTTTATAGCTTGAATTACGGACACATCTAAATCAACCTGGAATTTGATTGCATTTTATTTTTCTCCTGGAGGAGCCGCGTATTCTAGTTGTTCTCAGATGGCTGATGAAACCTAAGTGATGATCACAAAAAACTGATTGAAGGGTTTGAAACGCGGTTTTTAACGCACATACGGGGGATGGACTTTCGGAGTAAATTCATCGGCCGGAATGTGATATTCCCAGTTGACACCCTTACGAAATACAGTATACAGAATAATGGTCACCTTGCTTAGTGCCTTTCAGAGCCACAAACATATGCCCGATGTGTGCGGCATAGTCGACGGCGAGTCCAACAGCAAGAATTAGGCAAATGGACGTGACGATTTCTATGTTGAGGCCCCAAAAGTGCATAGATCCGGCGATATCGACCAGGGTAAAGGCGACACAAGCGAATACCCACAAACTGACTCGTACGTCGCCAATGAGTACCAAGGTGACGGCGAAAACAGCGCTCATTGTTAGACCCAAGTTACGGACAAGTTCCCCGCTGATAATCTACACCAAGAAGAATATTTTTTTTTTTATCTCAAGTCAGCCAATTCAAGTACAGTTACTATGAATTATTGTCGATGTTCACCTTGTTGGCTTGCCATGTAATGTACATGACCGTGTATGCTCCCAAATGCCTTTGTCCAGGTGGAGCAGACATGAACGTTATCGACCGCTCGATGTTCGATATAGCATTCATAGCTTCTTCCCTGTCATAGCTCAGGGTTAAAGGCACGTGCTTATACTTCAGCAAACTAGTCTGCTCAGAAAAGAATACAATGCATAGATCAAATGATGGCTGCAAAAATAAAAATAAATATCTCACGAGTATCTGAAATTCTCCCAGAAGAGTTCCATTGAAAGTTATATCTTGTAAGTAGTGATGTCCGTCTCGTGTTCCCAACAGAAACTCTCGCAGGGCCTCCACGAAGTCAATTTCCTCGTCGAATTCGACAGCTATACACCAGGATGAAATTTTGGAATGAGTGACATTTTACAGCTTTAATCAGAGATTCCTTACTGCGATTATTTTTGCGAATCCACTGAACAAAACTATGGTGCCAAAAATCGACCGTTTCGGTACGGATGGAGCGTTCGGCGACGACTGAAGAATACAGTTCTTCGAGAGCATCAGTTTCTTTCCAGTAATCGATCTGACCTGAAATGCAGGAAAACTGCCTTTGATAATAACAATTCTCAGATTTCGTTTCAATTTCCACTTCAGTTGACCTATCGTTTCCGATTATGAGTTATTATTGGAATGTAATGCTGTATGATTTTTCATTAACCGCGGACGGTTCAACGAATTCATGGAGAATGAAGCGTGGTTGCAACATGCTTTGAGCGACATCTATGTTTACTCAAAGCTAGAGTCGCTTGTCGCTACTCCGGCTGCAACGTAAAGAGGCCCGCCTGGGATGACGGGCGCACAGCGGACCAAGCCAATTCTATTCCACAATTCATTTCAGAACATTTTGATTCTTAGTTCACTGTGAATAAATAAAAATCAAGCTCTATACGAGAGAAATTATGGATATGCATTCAGATAAAAAAAAAATATTGAACGACAAACCGATGTGAAACGCTCCGGTTTCACCGCTATGGGGGAAGTACTGCTCCATGGCCTTCAGGTAAAGGTCTTGGTACGATCCCCATGTAATGTATTTCCTTGGGTCGAAGTTGTGCTGCATGTGCATCATTCCCCAAAAGTTCACTGCCACCATACCGAGACAAAGTAATGTCGCCAATATCTGTAGAATTTAATAATTGTCTGGATGAATTTTTATGTACTCGAAGTAAACATATAGTACTGTACTGATAAAGATGTGTTACAACAGCGAGTTCAAGGATAAAATCGTGGGAAAACATGGGAAAACAATGATTCAAACTGATGAACTGATTACGGGACACAATGCTGAGAACTTCATCTGCTTCGTTAATTAAATGTAAATTTTTTCAAGAATCTAAAGCAATTAAAATGTAATTGAGACATAAAATGGCAATAAATAGATACAGTGTCGTAGCTGGGATTCAATTAAGGCTCCAAGGTTAAACCAAAAATCTGAAAAATTTTGATTTTTTGGAAAACAGTACTCTCTTGTTTCATGTTCACGCCTCTAAAGCGCAGCAACGCCAAGACGAAACTGTACTAATTATCTCAACACTAATTATCTTAAAAATTAATCTTGAACCAAAGGAAAATGGCGAAAAAAATAATAACTGCCGTCAAGGGCTGATCAGAACTGCTGAATCGTGAGTTGCGAAACATAATTTTTAGAACCAACCTGCGAACAATTTAAAATTTTATATTGGATCCTTCTTAAAGAGGTCTATTTTCAATCGCCTTAGTTCTCTAACTTTTTGACCAAGGGCTCTTAACGTATCAAAAATGCCTCGTCCTGAAAATTGTCTTTGCAGTCCTGATCATTACAGACCATATAAAAATTAAGCTCTGATGAAACTGGATATTTGATATTTTCCCTAGCGCTGGTGGTATTTGCCCAGAAATAAATTGCAGTTAATACTGTAATCATCGTCAGATGATTCAGACAAGCATTCTATCAATAATCATCGAATTCCACTGCAACCTTCTTGGTCAAGGAAATTATTGATTTTCACGCATTTAGTTGAATATAAAGCGGATTTCTTTCTATTTTTGCTCCCAAAAAGCAGAGCGAGTCTCGGGTTCTGTCAGGTTGTAGGGGGGTAAAAAGGTGTCAACTTATTTAAAATATTACCACCTTCTTCAGGTCTGAACCAATGACTGAGAACTAGGAATCTAAAATTCAAGCGTGAGAAATGTTCTTCTTCAAAATGAGACAAATTATGATATTGCGGCATGATTAGTTTATCTCGAAAGTAAACGAACAAGAGCTTAAATTAGCAATTTCGTCATTCCGAAGCATTGCACTCGAGGAAATTGTTCAACAGAAAAATTGGTGCAAATCGGTCCACCTTGCGAAACAGCGCATTTCTTAGATTTGCCAAGAATCTTCGTTAATCTCGAGGGGCTGAAAAAGCCAAGGCGCATCTTCGAATCGATGAAGCATGCATAATTTTGATGGGATTTTCATTAGATTTACACGAGGATGAAGCAACAACCTTGACGGGAGTCGAGAGGATGACCGGCGCAAACACGCGCTTGAAGAAGAGAACCAGATACGACTTCTGTGAAAACGTGTTCGGTTCATAGCCTACAGCCATGGGGACGCACGGACAGCAGGCATTCTTCCGGCTGTCCATCCGCTTTTCATCAAGAGCAAGGCATGGCACGAATACAGTGAGTTGCAGCAAAAACACGCAGAGAATTCCGGCAGCTGCAAACAAGCAGAAGGAACTCAGCGACGGCATCACCTGCAACAGCACAAACGCGGCACACGGAATTAGTCATGACTCGTAGCTCTCAAGCCTGTGTTTCTCCGCATCATCCCGACGTTATATCTGCGAGCGACCAGCAAAACATGCTCAGAAGGACGTTTGCAACCATCTTCAACAATATTTCCCAGTCCGCACGCATCGCGTAACGATGTACCGACCGTCACGAGAAAAACAAACAAACAAGGGAAAGCTTGGGTTTATTAGCGCAGTGGTGCCTCGATTAACAGACGCTTCGCATAGCGGATTTTACGAACAGGACACTCGGGCAGCCATCTATTTTTGCTTTCAGGTAGCAGACACCTAGCCTCGGATAACGGTAATTTACGAAGATCGAAAGTCTAAGTAACCGAGTCCATTAAATGTGATAGCCAGTGAACTTATCATATTTTAATAAAGTACAGTATTAAAAAAGCTTCAAGGCTTTACTGAACTTGTTGAGCATTCTTCAATTTGTTCCTTTATGTTTTAGCCATTTCTATGTCTCTAAATGCCAGTGATTCAGTTGTTCATCCTTCTGTGCTTCATAATGCAATATGACTCCAAGGACTATTCTTAAAAATACATTTCGCATCATGCCTATCTAGACCCTTTAGATTCACAGGCTAACTTCTTTGCTAACTAACTTCAAGGTTGGTTGCTATAAAAAGGACGAAATCGTTTTCGTTCTGTTTTCTTAAAATAACACTTGCAGTAATGTTTCCAAGATGAAAGTATTCTGAAACTATGAACCAACCGTCGTGGAGCCGATCCCGAAGGCGAGGATATCTGTGGCCGAAGTGATTGTAATCGACACGCCGGCGCTTTTCAGCGCGTAACCGATTCTTTGCGGAACCGGAATCGCTTTATCTGTCGGCGAAAGCGTCTTCAGCGCCTATACGAATTGAAACATGGGATTAGCCTTTCAATCTCGAATGAACTAAGGAGAAACCACATTTTTTATTCAATTGACAAGAAAGCTCAAAAGAACCTGAACAATGACGAACATGTCATCCACCCCTATCCCGAGCAGCAGAAAAGGAAGGATCGGATGAATGGGACCGAAGAATAAACCCGCATACGAACACAGCCCGTAGGATGCCAGGATACTCAGCGCTACATTCATCACGCCGACCAAGGATATGAGGATCTGAAGACAAATAAAGGCTTGATCCTATGTTTGGAGTTGACAGAATTATTCACTCACTCTCTGCTCCAGACAGTTGAACTTCCCTAAAGTTATGGTGACGTAAATCAAGATTAACGCAAAACCCCCGAAAAGGATGGCCATGTTCTGGTCTTGCATCGAAGCCATCGCATCTTTAAAGCTGAATAAAGAAAATAAAACAATACGGAACTAGAACAACCATGATACCAAATTAAATACTCCCGGATATTTTAGGGCTACCAACCTGAAATGACCAAAAGCGTAAACTTTCACTCCTGGGAGGGAATTGTTCACCGAAAACTCCAGCACGGATTTGATGAATTTCCGCTCCCATACGTTTATGATTATGTTTTCTGGAGACATTTCGGGGCCCTTGAAGAAAATATCAAGTAATTCAAAAAGATAATGAGAACCTGTTGAGTCACACCCACCAATGGCGATTCTACGAGCCAAGTCATTATTGCCCCCTTGGCTCCTGCCACGCTCCCATTCGCATCTAGAAATATTCCAGACAAAGTGAGGCTCAGGTTTTGAGCATCGCTGAGCAGCGACCTGGAAAAAATTATAAAATTTCATTAGGATAAACTAAATTAGTGGGCCACTTGCATGGACATACTTTTGATGCAGAACTTTGGTAAATTCGCCAGTGATGAAGCTTTGGGATAAATTAGCGTAATCGATGTCATCAGATGGCTTGTCGAATGATTCTTCAAACAAGCTGAGCACGTTTGATTTCATACACTGGCCGCCTTTGTCCATATGCTTCATGTATTTCCTGAAAAGCTTTTGCACATCTTCGTCGACCTCGAATCCGAAAATAGACTGGAAGAAACCATCGTCTTGCACTTCAGCAACTGGTGTGATGCTCGAGATCGACTCGATCGTTGGGGTGGCTTCTTTGGTCAGATCCGGTCCACTGACTAGAAAAGGTTTCAGCTCTGTAGCTGGTGCACCAGTGCTCTTCATCATTTCGAAAGCGTCGTCAGTATCTCCTTCCGAAGGTTTTAGAGATTGCGTTTCTTGGACATTTGAACCATGGATAGCATTGACATCAGATTTCCCACCGCTAATTGCCCGTTTTCTGCGTAGTTCCAATTTAACGTCGGCGCCCATCAAAGGAACAAGTTGGCCAGGCCTAAAAACAACAGGGTTTGTACAGTGAGTGAAGCTCAAGTAATACACAGAAGCTATTTCGCTGGCGGGTTATATATATAAATACAGATGGTTTCAATCAAGTTTTCAATTACAGGTCAAATCTTGTCAGAGAAAACTTCCAGAGACACAAGAAAAGTGCTATACATAACGAAAAATGTGTTGTACAGTATTGAGATACATACACTTGTGATCTTTTTTTCTGAAATAGAGATTAATTTTTTCAAACCGAAGTTTTTTTTCGGACAAATTAATCAAGGTCTCCAAAAGAATCACGTATTTATAACAGCAGAAGTGGAGGAAAGAAGTTTCTTCAGTAAATAGAAATTACTGCAATTCACTCCCATGAATATACAAAGGTAAATTTAAGAAAAAAAAATCGTCACTCCAACCAATGAAATTTCGTTTGAACTATATTTTTACTACCTGTTTTGAGTATTCGAAGATTTGGCCCGGACCTCAGAGATATTTCTTCATTCTGAAAAACTTGTTGTAACGGGATTTGACCACTAAACGTGGAGCCATTATTTCAAGCGTCACATGGTGCAGATGAAATCTTATTTTTACAGACGAACTTCATGGAATGGCAAGATTCTTATCAGAAGTAGTGCCTTCGAATCGGTGGTTTTTGTCGTCAGTTTCAAAGCGAATCATCTCGTACGAAGTACTGTATCACTGACGTCTTCACAATTTCATAAAGAAAATACTGTAGACTAGGGATAAGCGGTGTTCTAAAACAGAAAATCTGGCTTTGCTTACTTTAAAACTTATTTTAAAACAAGCAATCTATTCTTCGAAACCTTCGTCGAATTTTCGAAAAAAAATTGAAAGAGATCTTTATTGCAGTTATCTACAGTTTTTGATGGAGAAATTATAAATACATTTTGAATCAGCATTGATGGTTTGCCTTCCCATAACAAATTTTTTGACGATTATGAAAGGCCGGTTTAGAGTAACCTCTGGAAAATAAAAATTATCAGAGTAGACAGACATTTTATAAAAATTGAAGGGATGAATCCATCTGTCAAAATCTGCAAGGATTTTTATTTGTCTTCTGCAGTTTTGGACAACTGCAACTAAACTTCGTCAATATTGTATGAACATCATGAATATTATGAATGCACACATGTAATCTCGACTTGCAAAAAGCATAAATAAAAGATACGCGTACAACTAAGTTATTGCACACTTAACTTATGTCATTCGAGAATTCCGAGGATCACGGAACTTCCGTGCATTCTCAATTTATTGATGACCCTGATATAAGCTTCAACAATTACGAGTGGCTCAGCGCAGCATGACAACTAAGGTGAATGTCAATTACAGCAATAATTCGTCAGAAAAATAAGCGCCGACGGGAAAATATCCAGACAATATGAATGAGCACGATGTCACTCACCGAGCGCACAATGATTCCCATGATGCCTCATCCGTTTCTAGCACGCTGACCATGGCGTCCAGGTCGCTCATCTGAACAGAATGCAGAGGAAAAATAGCTACAGCATACCTTTTATGCGGGTAACAACCAATATACGAAATTAACTAGCTTCAAATTTACAAAAACATTTCTTCGAAAAAAAAAAAGGGAACAGCGAGATATTGAAGCTCAAAAATCTCGGGATACTAGATCATAAAATCAACTTCGGAAGGTGTGAAGCCGAAGGATACGAAGTTTCATTCCGAGGTATGTACATCGGGTTTTCAGAAATCAGACGTCACTGATTAAGAAGAAGTCTTCCCGCTTCCCAAAAATATAATTATGATTATGCTCATGGCCGTGATTATTTGAAAAAACACCTGGAGTTTTTCGTATCCAAAACCGAGTACTATACTGTATGTATTCTGATCACATCGAGAGAGCATGACGAGTAAAATTATTTGGCTGCTTATTCAGGGTACTTGAGAATAAAACTGATACAATACAAGTAACAGTGTTTTGAAGTCGTATATGTATGCATCAAACTCCACGTTCCCCGAGAACTAATCTCCCTTCCAGATGCAGCAGAAAACTCAAGGTGTTGGCAACAATGTTAGCCCACGCTTGGAATATCACGAGCACGAGGACAATTAGTCACCTCATGAACGCAGCTTCGCGAACTTTAGTAACACGAACGCATCCTTCCTTCCTGATAAAGCTCCACCTCATTTCAGACAGAAACAGGCTCGTTAAGTAATTAGCCGTGAGATACACTGTCCTCAAGATAAAGGAAAACTTTGAGGACACTCACGAATTGAAGCACATCCGGCGTGAGAACGTTGTCTCCGACAATCAAGGCCGTTTCGAAGTACAGCTTCGGGGGAAAATTCGCCTCCAGCCACTGCTTCTTTTGTCGCAGCTCTGAATTGTACGGCAGCCAAACGTCTTGATCATCTCGGATTTGGAAAAAGAACATGCCTCCGCCCAACACGGCGCATGCGAACAAGGCAAATCCGATCGTTCGCAGAGGATAAGTGCCCATGAAAACTCCCAGTCTGAAATCAAAACACGGAAGTGAAGATCTTTGAAAACGGAAGGACCTTCTTCACATGACCCCGAATGATATGTACAGTGAAAATATTCAAATAGAATACAATATTTGCACTCCTGAGTCCTGACGTTCGCCGAAAAAAAAACAGCTTCGCAGTGGCAATCATCAGTACACAACTCGTGTCCACATTTTCTTTACACTGGGAAGAATACCATTCTGCCTCATACAAACATGAAAACTGTTATCCTCGAACATTTTTCGCAAGAATATTTCGTTTTTAGAGAACGCTAGATCGGGTATTTGCTCACGAACGTCGTTTATTTTCAGGGGATTCATCAACATCGCGCCGTTCAGAGTAACGGAACGGAGGAGCTTTCTCTGCTGCTACTCATTTTCCTTCGCTGGTCTAATAATCGAAGCATCTAGAAAGTGAACTTGACCGAGAATTATTTCGCGAAATATTAAAAGAAAATCAATTTTTCAATAGTTTTCGTAATAAACGACTTCCAAAAACGAGCAATTTTTGGCGTAAGGGATAAACTTTCCTAATGTCAAGACAATGCTTTCTCAACTGAAACACTGACGTTATATTCGTGGGGAGCTTATTTCATAGCACAGAAAGATTCCAAGAAAAATATCATCAACAATGTTTACGTCAGAAAAGCAATACGAGGCCCGGAAATGTTTTTCTTGCTCAGACGATGCAAGTGATGAAATTGACGACCTATTAGACCAATTTGAGGGTGCAATGTCTACTACAGTAATAGACGTACAGTATCACGAATCGTATTCAAGAAGTCACCGATTATTAAAGCTGGAGTGCATCAATGATTTCAAGCAAACCATGACGTCAAAATTGTGATAGCACGAACATGTAGTGAATTTTTTTCGTACATTATGGAAATTTATTTCAAAGGTTGAAAAAAGTTTATCCTGCTTCGCGGCCGACGCAGTACAAAATAAAAGGTTTCACGTGACTTTTATTTGAGGTTTCGGCTGTGTATGAATCGATCTACTTTCTGCAAAATTTGAGCAATCGATTCAAACTCGGTAGCCTACCTGTAGAAACAAGATTCCATAGAATCTTGAATCACGATGCTGATGTAGTCGAGCGCCTCCTCCACGCTGGCCATGCACCCTTTCCGGGATTTGCTGGGGCCAGCTTCGGCATCGTCGACCACCGCACGCTTGTCGGTAAACGCCATCCTCTCGCGAGCAAACGGAAGGAACCACTTCGCACAGCCCGTTAAATTCAACCCCAAATCGGCATGTTACGTACGTAATGCCTCCAAACGCGAGTGCAAACGGAACTGGGGAACTTTTTGTACAGTCCTGCGGCAACTAAAACAATAGACGCCATTAACACAAGAAATTTTCGATTTCCGCCAGAATTTTCAATTAGAAAAAATGTCTGGTAAGCGTAACATGAAAATAAATGAAGAGAGTTTCTTCGCCTGACCTCTCTCCTCTTATCCTGCAACGTGCGTACCGTAGAAATTCGAAAGATCTCGAATTTTTTTGCTGGAGAAAAAGGTACTGTGTGTCAACGAAGTCAAAGTTCATTCAGGGACAATGCTTCATTCTCTTGCTTCGAGGAGAAGCGAAGAGCGAGAGAGAGAGAGAGAAACGATTGCATGAGTCACAATTGCAAACGAATCTCTCATAAATGTCTGCACACGGATTTGCAGTATGTTTCACCCGCCATTCATTCGCAATGTTCGCGTAGTGTATTTCATAAAATGTACGGCTTATTGTGCACATGTTCAGGCAAAGCACCCATGTCACGAATATGCGGACTAATTTTGCACAACGAAACGTTTCGTCCACGTTTCAACCGTCTAATGAAGGCATACACGTGTCCGCTAACTTGTACGAGCTGTAAAGGAATTAATGAGAGTATAGTACTAATTAAAATCGGGATTTAACCTTGATATGCACACCCGATGGACCCTGTGATCCGAAAATGAGATGCAGTACGAGTTATTCATAATCGACGGGGCTCACGACAATTCAAGGTGACGAAGAGACTCCTGACACAACCTTGACGTCCGACGCACCGCTGTCTGCTCCGACGGATGAAACATTACTGAGCGAGACTCGCTTTTATCGAGTCGGAATGAATATTTAATGCAAGTATCTACGACAATAAAGACCAGCGCTCTCCTACGCATACTTGATTAATTGAGTGGCATTAAACGTCAGAGATGTCGTACAGGAACATATTTCTACGTTCGTGTAAAATGCTGCCATGAAAGCAAATCAGCATCACACAAATTTATTTAAAAATACTGTTAGCACACTTCCAAGATCCAAGCAGATCACAGTACTGTACAGTGTTATAATTTTCTTTGGTTCACGTGAGCCATATCAAAAAAAGAAACCGAAACTAATGGATGTAGCTTTGCAGATACGTCATTCCACTTGTTTTGAATGAAAACTTGGAGTCGTTTGTATTAAATGGGTATTACGGAATATAAGATTTGTTTTTGCTTTCCTGAAATACCACTTACAAATCCCACGGGGTATGCAAATAACCGATCATAACACAAAACGAATGTATCATTTGAAAAGGCTTCAAAAAGGTGCGGATTCCGGTTTTATTCAAATCGTAATCTGAAATAATGACATAAAATATACTAGCTTACTAAATCTGCAGGAAAAAGCAAAGGGAAACGTGACTATTTCATAAAATGTACGGCTTATTGTGCACATGTTCAGGCAAAGCACCCATGTCACGAATATGCGGACTAATTTTGCACAACGAAACGTTTCGTCCACGTTTCAACCGTCTAATGAAGGCATACACGTTTCCGCCAACTTGTACGAGCTGTAAAGGAATTAATGAGAGTATAGTACTAATTAAAATCGGGATTTAACCTTGATATGTACACCCGATGGACCCTGTGATCCGAAAATGAGATGCAGTACGAGTTATTCATAATCGACGGGGCTCACGACAATTCAAGGTGACGAAGAGACTCCTGACACAACCTTGACGGCCGACGCACCGCTGTCTGCTCCGACGGATGAAACATTACTGAGCGAGACTCGCTTTTATCGAGTCGGAATGAATATTTAATGCAAGTATTTACGACAATAAAGACCAGCGCTCTCATACGCATACTTGATTAATTGAGTGGCATTAAACGTCAGAGATGTCGCACAGGAAAATATTTCTACGTACATATTTCTACGTATATACGTCTATATTTCTAAAATGCTGCCATGAAAGCAAATCAGCGTCACACAAATTTATTTAAAAATACTGTTAGCACACTTCCAAGATCCAAGCAGATCACCGTACAGTACAGTGTTATAATTTTCTTTGGTTCTTGTGAGCCATATCAAGAAAAGAAACCGAAACTAATGGATGTAGCTTTGCAGATACGTCATTCCACTTCAAGTTTTGAATAAAAATTTGGAGTCGTTTTTTTTAAATATGGGTAATACGGAATATCAGAGTTGTTTTTGCTTTCCTGAAATACCACTTACAAATCCCACGGGGTATGCAAATAACCGATCATAACACAAAACATTACATAGTAAACTTTTCCGAAGTTTTTCCACGCCTAAGGCCAAAATAAGTTTAGCATTAGACTTTATTACTGTATTTTATATGATCGAATGATTTAGACGTCCTTTTTCGTTTCCCTTTGCACTGAGTTCGAGAAAATTTTCTTCAAACATGAATGGAGTATGCACTTCCCGGAAACACTCCATCAAATGAGGACATGGCATGGAAGAGTAAGCTTCTATCTTGTTTAGGTAGTTGCGTTGTAAGTGCAGATGCACTACAGACATTTTATAGCGGGAATGCACCTCACTCTCTAAATTCCACGCTTCTTCATGGAAATAAAATTTTGATTCCGACTTCGTAATACACTGAAAACACGAGGAAAATATTTTCATATGTACGTATGTACCGTATATGAAAATACAAGCTTGAAAAGTGCGACAAGCTTGAAAAGCTCAGTGCTCTACATGAAATGCACCATAATCATGTTCAGTCATTCGCTTGAGACAAGTATGTTCTCGTAACACAATTTGTCACCATGTAACTCGGGTGATTGACCTGAAACTCGATTCACTCTAAATTCAAATTTTGAGCACATGGTAAGACGAAAAAGTGAACTTAGCTTGATCCAACTCCATTCGAACGGGTTTCTTTCCTAATAAAGTCCCCTTCCATTTCATGGTATATTAGAAGAACAGAGGGAACTTATCCCATCACTCTACGGAACTTTTCTCGCATTTAGAAACTATCCTAGTCAAGTTTCGAATGACCCACATTTCCGCAGGTCTCTGCCACGTTCCGATTCACCGCCGTCGGAGCGCCTCCAAACAACACTCCGAGAATGAAACGACATCAGGGGCAGCAAAAACAGATTTAGAACTTCATTTCGAGATGAGCAGGCTAAATAGACACGGTAACAAAATACAAGTCCGAAACTTTATCTACGAGCAGCTCAAACAAGTGCCGTATTACGACCAGAACCGGTGGAGATGAGCCGCTCCCCTCATTCACTTAAGCGCCCAAAATGCAGCTGCGATATAGCCTCGTAATCATTGGGTTATGCTGAGTCAACCAGTGCTGCGCAGAAGCTTTTGGAGAGGATGTTCCCAAGAAATTATAAAAAAAATAGTGTCAGAGAACAACTTGGGCATTCGTAGCCAAACGACGTCATTGCGTTGAATCGTTGATTTGATCGGTAGCCTATACAGAGTGTAAAACAATCTATTTGTCATTCGCACATCAGGAGACTGGGATGCGTTACGGATGGACTCATGCAAATGCACTCAGCAAAGCAGGGGGAAAAATCGCTATGCAGAAAATACCGTCGCAGAGGAGCTTCTCATTCATTGGAAAAGGTTTTACCAAGACTAAACGCTGTAAAGTACAATATGCTAGTGAGGAAAAATAAATCGTAGTGCAGTTCACCATCATTATCAAACTTTATTATTGTACACAAAACTACTTGATCGTCTTTTCATCAAATAATTTTTAAAGTGATAGAAAGCGCCACATAATTCAGTAGAACTCTGATTATCTGTACTACAATTAATCTGAAATTCATTCAGCCGTACTCACCCTCCGATCCATCGAGAAACCGAAAGCTCTCTACCATGCATACCGTATTTTAATTGAAATTAAATTCGGGATGTTTAATTTTTTCTGATCGACTATTTATCCAGGTTATCAACCTTTCAAAGATTTATGTAATATCTGTCATATCAAAAAAGCTCACCCATGAATCTTACATGGTTCCAATTGAGTGAAATTTGTATGCATTTGAATAGCCGTTTTATTCGCTTATTTGAGCACTCGGTCATTAGCCCGAGTATTCGCAGCAATTCGAATGCATTTCAAAATCGAACATTAGCTAGCTTTATGGGGATTCATAAATTTTGGATCAGTTGCAAACATAATTTTAAAGTGGTTCCTGGCGTCGTCAATGGTTTTCAGGACCCAAGCTTTAAAGCATATCATCACGCTAAATTGCATATCATTTCAGCCAAACTCGCTAGATCTCCTTGCGGAATTCCCGGAGACAAAGACGCGAGAAAGCACTAGAACCTCACACGTTCACACGAGAATTTTCAAGTATAAAACAGAAGCGATTGGGATAGAACATGATGAATGTACCCGCGAATGCGAGGGTAGTAGAAGGATAATGAATCGTCGCCCGGAACCACACGACACCTTCTTGGTGGCCATTATTCGGTTACGACTGCAGTCCGAAGAAATACACTATAATAATGTTCCACTCATCCTCTACTTTTTTGTCACTGAGTTTTCATCTCCACGACGAACAGGAGGGTGGCGTAATGCGTTTCACCGATGGCGGTCATCCACCCGCGTAGCTGACGTCACGATTAAAAGGAAGGCCACCCTCACGATGAGCTCGTGTGTCTATACGTTCGCTCGATTCATTCCTTTCACACTCTCCTATGGCATTTCCGCAACAACAAAAATGTTCACTCAACTTGTCAAACTAAATCCTATATTTAAATTTCGGTGCCACCTCTGTAATTGGAACCAGTCGCTCCTGTCGCCGAAGAGCAGCTGCAAAGCGTTCTTCGGGTATCTGTTTCATATAAAAATGAGGAAATCAGGGTTCTTCGACTGGAATGAATAACTTGAATTGATGGGACACTTTTTCAGAGCTGCAAAATCCGGACTTCGCTTGAATCTGCCGGGTGGCATTCCCACACGTTAACAAGGCACTGTTCAAAAATTCTCCCCTTCGCAATTTAGAAGTTTCCCAGACCGGAAATATCAAGTAGACAATCTTGCTTTTTTTACTTCCAACGTAGAGGTAAAAAACTGAAGTAATTCGTTCAGCCCATTTCATTCACTCTAGAA